GGTTTACAGATTTAATGAATGTAACCGAAGAAGTTACAATTCATAGACCCAACGTTTCGACACTCCTGTCTGGTGCCTTCACCAGGGGTGAACTAAACGCTGCAACAAGAGGTCCTTTTATATGATCTCAAATTAGCTGCCTTTTTTTTTTCTGACGAGGTGTAAACAGTCGTCAGGAAGCAAGCCGCCTTCGACACGATTTAAAGAAGCGTGGGCGGAGTTGAAGTTAAAGTTGCTCAAAAACCTTTTCAGACTTTAGGGCATATTTTCGCCAAACTTAAGGAACCTATCACGAAAGAACAACGAACCGACGCCATTTATTCCATTCCCAGCAATGACTGTGACAACGAGTACATCAAACAGCCCAAACGTTAGTTTGGTACACGTTTGAAAGAGCATCAACAAGCGGTTTTCTTTTACAAAAAGGAAAATTCAGCTTTATCGGAGCACACATGCCCAACTAACCATACAATTGACTGGGATAATTCTACAATTATCACCACTAATTGGCGTTACCCACAGTATGAAATCGCAAATTTACGCATTTTTAACTCGGCCTACGTAAAGAAACGTAAATATAAAGCCTCTTCTTTACGGACAAGTTCCGCGTTTCGTAAAGATGCGTAATTGCAAAGGAAGCGTAAAGATTGCGTAAAGGATATTAAATGTTCGTAAAGGATAAGGATCAAGATGGATATAATTAACCACTTTCAATTTGGAGAAATACTCAAAGAAGTGAAATAATTATGGCTCATCCATCTTCAGTAGAATTATCGAGGTATTTTGACCAGTTTCGCTTTTAACTCTTTACTCGTCTTTAATATTCTTTACGCATCTTTACTCACTGTTCTTTACGAACCTTTAAAATTCTTTAGCATTCTTTCCACACAATCAATCTTTACGCGCCATTAATTCTCTTTACGAATCCTCAACGACCCTTAACTTTTCCTTCGCATAATCAATCTTTACGTGCTTTAATTCTTTTTCCGCATCTGTATTCTGTCTTTTACACCGGTTCTAAACTTTCTGTTCGCATAAATATGTTTAAACTACCCTTTTTTTAACGCGCGTTCAAACTCATGATCAGGAAGTTGTCGTGATGAGACAATAATGTTTTTTTTTCCAGCAAATGGACCTTGCAATGACGTGTGGAAGCGTGATGCTCTAATGTTTGTAATAATAAGATTGTCGAACTTTAAGATCCGACTGTCAATGGTTTTAGTCCTCGGGACGTTTGATGAAGAGTCCCTGGGGACGAAAATACGTAGAAACGAGGCTGCCGCAGATCGGCGGGAGAGTATAACAGGTGATTTAGTACAGTAAATGGTTTGAACCCGAGGTTAACATGTAATAGTGTAGTTTGATCGTCCGGGTGAGTGTAGTCCTGAGAAGGACTGTTGTCGGTTCTGGTGACTGACGTTTCGACAACCTGAGCGGAAGTCAAATTGTCAAGAATTTCCGACCTTTACTCCTGGCTTTACTTTTGGCGTGTGAAGTGATCTGTGGACTCTTTTCCTTTCAAAATGTCAAGGATTTCCGACCACATCAGCGTGAGCGACAGTTATACTGTGCTAATGGATGATTGTTTGAAAGAAAACCAATCAAAACGGAATCAAAGAAAGGTAACTCAAAGGTCCATGTGCCTATAAACTGTGCGAAAACAATGAGACATTTTGTATATCTATGTAAAAATATTTATATTTATGATATTTGTATTTTTCAGTTCTTATCCCGTGCATATAAACCTTTAGCTACGTTACTGTGAATATTACAAAATCAAGTTAAAGAGTTATGACAATAAAATAAATTGCAATGTATAAAACACGTGTTGTTATATATGGGTCAGTCCTTGAAAGGCATGTGCGGCATCGTTTTACAGAAGCGTAAAATGTCGCAAACGTTCTCGATACGACTTTTGGAAATACGCACTAGGATAGCGCATTACGTTGATGTTGTCACTAGCTCACATTTGTTATAGTCTGATTAGCAAAAGGGAATGTTGCCAAAAAATTCAGGCGACTGCAAAATGGCAAATGGGCATGTAAATATTGTCCATTTACGATAGTTTAATAACGCGTAAAGATCGCCTTCTGATCGCTTTACAGTCGCTGTAAAATATAGTAAATATTCTTTATACGAATTTTACAAGGCACGTAAAGATAACGTTTTTAGTCTCTCCGTGATCTTTACGTACTATCGTTTTCAAAGCGTTAAGACATTCTTTACGAGAGTGTAAAGAAGTTCTATAAGACGCGTATAGAGGATCTTACACTTACTTGACGGCATCTTTACGGATTCGTAAATTTATAATTTCATACTGTGACTACCAGAGCCTTTGTTTGGAGGCTTGGCATGTCAACTCCGCCCACGCTCCTTAAAATCGTGACGATGGCGGCTTGCTTCCTGACGCCTATTTACACCTCGTCAGAAAAAAGGCAGCTAATTAGTGATCATGTAAGAGGACCTCTTGTTGCAGCGTTAGGATCACCCCTGATGAAGGCACTAGACAGGAGTGTCGAAACGTTGGGTCTATGAATTGTAACTTCTTCGGTTACATTCATTAAATCTGCAAACCAGAGTAGCATCAAACCATGTTTGATTGTCCACATGGTTGCCGTGTGAACTTTAATATATTTTATATCGATGCATGTTTCGAAGAAAAACGTCCCTTTACGTGAGCTCTGCCCGAAAAAGATGTCCCAACGTGAAGAAAATGCTAGAATAAACACAACAGATGATTTGGAACAATTTGGCCACAAACTGTGGCAGTTTTAATTAAATCAATTATAACTAAGTGATAACAAAGAGCGGAATATCTGAACTTATCAACCGATAACGTCAACGTGGGGCGACAAAAAACGCCACAAGCCACAAACTGTGGCTGAAGCCCCACAAAAACGAACAGACACGACAAATACAAATGAAAGAAAGAATAAAAATGCAAGGCTCACGTAATGGAGGGAAAGCAACTCTACACAAAAATCCATGAAGACTGCAGCCCATGTCTGAACAGTCCCATGTGACTAAAATCAAAGAGAGAATGCAATCCAAAAACGGCAGCCACTTGTCTGAACCCCCTGGAAAGCATTCAACTCATCGAGATAAGTAACATGAATGACCTGAAGTTATAAAGAAGAAGTGGGCAAAAAACACTAAAACATTTAATGTAACGGCAGAAAGCCTGCAAAAAAGCAGCCACTTGAAAAACCGGCATGACAACAACTTCGCAGCCCTTGACTGAACGAAGTGGCGCCCAAGACTGTAATGGTCTATCAATTAGTAGTAAGAATTTCGGAACGTAAATAAACTTTAAATGCATCCGATTTCCAGCGGCCAAGCGCACGAATTTGGGCATCAGAAAAACCATTGTCGGCAGCATGACAAGCGCCACCAATGCGAAAAGTATGGCTTTTATAGCGGCTAAGATCGAGACCACAGTACGTTAAACACCTCTGAAGTTCTGTGTTGAATTGATGTAAAGACACAGGCGAAAAATCAGCGTTACAGAAAAGTGGACCCGACCGATCGCCGCGAAGCCTAGTATACTGCAAGAGAGCAGTAACTGGGCAGAGAGAAGGAACGTCTTCTCGAGCAAGCAAAATGTGAAATGGCCTTTTGGAAGGGTTGTGTTTGTATTCGGAAATGCTAATTTTCGCAATATGGGGCAGGCCGTTACAAGTCAAAAAGGTCAAGCTGTGATATTGAACAACTGATGAGCCCAAATGCGTGCTCTTGACGACAAGTTCGCCAATGCGAAATAGACCATAGAAAGCGACTAAAAGTATTGTCCCAAAAAGAGAACGTTACCATGCCCAAGAGTTGGTGAAATCCAGAGACCGAACAAGTTGATGTAACACAGGCTTCGTCACGGGAAGACGAACGTCTGCAGCTCGTTGCCGACTTAATGCTGTCAACAACTTCTGAATTAAGAAAGATTTGGTGGGGTCACGTAAGCCCTTTAATTTGTGTACATAAGAAATAGCCGAAAGGTAGGAGTTACCCCGGTAAAAGTGGATCGTCTTAAATTTTTTCTGCACGGCTATGACTCTGCGTTAGCTTCTTATCTTATTGACGGTTTTCGTTTTGGTTTTCGAGTTCATTTTGTTGGTGAACGGCTGTCTTACGAATCTCCTAATCTTAAAAGCGCTATAGATCAACCTGATTTAGTTAAAGCCAAGTTAAGTAGGGAATGCGCGGCTGGGAGAATTGTTGGTCCTTTTACAACCCCGCCCTTTCCTAATTTTCGTACATCCCCTTTAGGCATTGTACCCAAAAAAAGATCCGTCCGAATGTCGTCTCATTCACCACTTATATTACCCCGAGGGTGCTTCGCTCAACGACTTCATTCCTGACATTTACTCCACAGTGAAATATGCGTCTGTCGGTGATGCATCCAAGTCGATTAAGCGATTAGGGCGGGGTTGTTTCATGGCCAAAACAGATGTTAAGTCTGCATTTCGCATAATTCCTATTCACCCTGCTGATTATTCCCTGTTAGGTTTGAAGTGGGAAAACTTGTATTATTTAGATAGGACTTTGCCGATGGGATTGAGTTCGAGCTGTGCTATATTTGAAGCTGTATCGACGGCACTTGAGTGGATTTCTATCCACCATCTCGGAGCTCAGTCCGTTTTGCACATTTTAGACGATTTTCTCTTCATTGCGCCGACCAAAGACCAATGCACACGCGACTTGTCGAATTTTGTTTCTTTGTGCGAATATATTGGCGTTCCTCTCGCCCCCGAGAAAACAGTAGGTCTGGATTCAGTTTTGAAGTTTGCAGGAATAATTTTAGGCTCCGGTCGCATGGAGGCGCGACTCGACCAGCCGCGCATTCCCTACTTAACTTGGCTTTAACTAAATCAGGTTGATCTATAGCGCTTTTAAGATTAGGAGATTCGTAAGACAGCCGTTCACCAACAAAATGAACTCGAAAACCAAAACGAAAACCGTCAATAAGATAAGAAGCTAACGCAGAGTCATAGCCGTGCAGAAAAAATTTAAGACGATCCACTTTCACCGGGGTAACCGGGGGACTGTGTAGAACCCAGTGCTTGAGTCGGGCCTCCTTTAAGCTTACCTCCGAAATGGGGTGTGATTGCTTGAATGACACATTGACTGCCTGGGTGTTTTGCTCCACATTTAAAGCAGGAGTGGTCATATTGGCAGCCAGAGCAATGCTTCCCGGCTTGAAAGACCCAGCAAGTTCCCTTTGGAAAAGGGGGAGATCGAAAGCGTTGACGAGTTTGAGTCTGAAATTTGTTTGTGAACGACTGTGGCCTACGAAAACTGTTGGCAGCTCTTAGCCATAATTCCCAGTGTATTTGGTCCCATGGGTAAAGTGCTGGGTTCGATTGTCTGATATAGCGAAATTGTTCGTCATACCCAAACCAATCGCCTGATTTATAAGCCAAATCTCGTACAACTTCGCAATATTTCATTAAACTTGGAGTTTCGCTAGAGAAGCGCTCCGCATAGACTGAGACAAAAATATTAAATGCCGAAGCCCATTGATGTATCGAAGTAATCCTTTTGTTGGATTGTGAGGGCTCGAGCGTGAACTGTGGCGAGCGTTGCAGCCCAGCAGAAGGCATCATAGATAACGAATATTTGCCTTCATTTTGAGGGGAGGAAAAAAGCAATGCCCCAAAGTCTACATATTCGTTTGCCCATATTTTGGCTTTAAGTTTAGCACTAACCCGGGCGGGAAGACCCACCGCAATACTAGTAAAAATCTGCTGGGGTTGTGGTTCACCCAAACCCGCTTTAGCAGGAACGCCTCCCCTCAAACTGCGGTAGAGTTTAAAATGACCTAAATTATTAAAATGGCAGCTATGTTATCCCCAGGCTTCGGAAACGGCGACAGAAATGGTGCTTGATAGAGCGCCGACATCCAAGGAGCTGTTCTTGACATTCTGGGAATGGCTAGCTGTGGAACTCATAGCTGGAAGTGGAGGTGTTACTTCACTTATCTCGGATGGGCTGGTTTTCTTTGTTCGTTTGACCCGTTTAGGACAGTCATTCACAACGGCAGAACGTTTTCTAGGAGGCATAACTTACAAAGGGAATGTACAAAAATGGGAGCATAAGACAATAAGAAAAAATCTCGAAATCTACCGTGTTATGGCAAAAATTAATAAAGCACATAGCTACAGACAGTGCTGACAACTCTATTGTCTATTGTTGTCTGGTGAAAAACCGATAGCCTGAGAGGGGCCACGCTTAAGACGCGAATATAAGATATGGAAATACAGCAAAGGTATCAGTTGTAAACCATTACAAGTATGGATGTTGTACATACGTGAAGTAAAAAGATCATAGCAAATCAAAAAAGTGAGAGAGCAGGTAGCCACAAAAAACGCCAAGTTCAACAAACAAGTGTGCTGAAACTGCACAATACAGAACAATAAGCTAACGCTTTATCACAGTACCGAGTGCATTGGATACTTTCCCCTAAATTAGGGGATGGTCAGAAAGGGTTGTACACTCAAATGGTAAAGTGAAAGCACAGCGTAAAAGAAATACCAAGGCCAAAACGATACCAAGATCGTAAATAACATATGTGGTCCACTGGACCAACAAAAACAAGCCTGCCAAGAGGAAAAACTTCCCAAAAATAACATAAGAGGCAAGGCAAAAACATATATGACATAGGCCTGGTTCAAAACAAAAAATGTGAACTGGCAATAAACATCGAAAGAAATACGCTGCTTCTCAAATAAAATGCGGGGTAAGAAACCGCCGATAAAACATTTAAAAAATGCATTGTCCTGCAGTAGAAGCTTACACAATAACTGGCAGATCACGAAGCTTCCGATAAAGCTCTCCAGCATCCTAAAATGGCTCCCCTCAAACTGCAGTAGAGTTTAAAATGACCTAAATTATTAAGGTGGACACCATCACGGTGAAGGAAACGAGATTTGCTGTTCCAAAAACCCCTGTGTTTCCAGTAACAAGCATATGGAATAGGTTCCAAAACCACTCTAAGGTATTTGGATAAAGTGTTTGCTTTGTTATTAAACAGAGGCGCGTTCTCGCGATAAATGGTTTGGCAAACACAAATTCTGTTAACGCTGTAAGAATCGTATAACAAACGAACGAGATCCTCTATAGCGGACCCCGTTTCTACGGCAGATAACGCCGTTAGGTCGTTCGTGCCAAGCTGCAAAATGACAATATCGGGAGCAAATGATCTTACGACTCCGAGGTCACGTTGCCTAGTTTTTGCTACTGTCCTTCCCCCTATCCCGTGCCATTTGAAAATAAGGTCGTCGCCCAAGTTAAAATTCTCCAGGAAATCGCGACCGAAATGAGCAACAAGAAAACGAAACAAACGATGGATAAAGGAGTGACCGAGGATAAGTACACGTGTTGGTGCCATGCACAGGATATGTTAAATGCGAGGTTTGAAATATTCAATTAAATTGGACACCAACAAAATAATAGCAAGATAGAGAATACAGAAATTTTCAACTTGCCTGAAACTTTGGACTGTGTTATCGAAGAGAGGGAAAAGATTTCTTGAGCACTTGACGTTCGAATGGCGAGGGATAGAAGGGCGAATCAAGGAATTTCTCCTGGTTTTAACATAGCAAACTCCGCCCTTACTACCGATTGGTTACTGTTCGTACCTGGTACAAGCAAACTCCGCCCTTAATACTGATTGGTTACTGTTCGTACCTGGTACAAACCTCCCAACGGGTTATCATAGAAACATGCCCCGACATAAAAACATTATGTCTAGACATAATGTTTGTCTTTATATCGATGCATGTTTCGAAGAAAAACGTCCCTTTACGTGAGCTCTGCCCGAAAAAAAATGTCCTAACGTGAAGAAAAGGCTAGAATAAACACAGCAGATGATTTGGAACAATTTGGCCACAAGAGCAGTCAAAATAGTAAGCCAAACTCAAAGATTAGAATAAATCCCAATCTTAGCAGTAAAAATTATATACCTGTCATGATAATATACACTTGATTTTGCAACTTTTAAATATCCAAGGCCCTTGAATTCCAAATATGCAAAGCAAATTTTCGAAACTATAAATTTTGTCGATTCTCGCGGGTATCATGATATACCTAAAGGAGGTTGAGTCCTAAAATTCTGTTTCAACGGGTCCTTTGTTGATTGCTAAATGCAATCTCGATCAAGTTTTCCCTCACTGAACATGTCTCGCTCGCAGTATGTCACACCAAAGTCTAAAACTCCTCGAGTTAGATCAGTGGGATTGCCGTTAAAATCTGTTCCTGAAGAACAGGTTAAATATGTCTCAGCAGTGATGGTAGGTTGAATATAACAGTAGTTGTTCATGACAGTCATTTAAACGCGCAGCATCTTCTTGGAACAGATCCCTATTTGTGCTAATTTTTTGAAGATATTACGAACTTAATTTGATGTTTTAGTTTTTGTTGCCTTTTAGATTTATTTTTCTGCGAACAGGAGCCGCGAAACAAGTCCAAGCAAGGTAGGGAACATGATAATTTGAACCGTAGCTATTTTGATTTTCCCGTGACACTTCGCTTGAGCTAAAAAAACAGAGAAAAGAAAGCTAGTATATTTTCCTTAACCAAAAGGCTTAAGGAAAATTAGAATAAAAATCTTCGAGCTAATTTACAACAGAACTATTGTTGCATCAGCCAGTTTGTACAAAATTTTTGGTTGGAGGTAGTTTTACTCAAGCCATTATCCCAGAAACGTCCAAATTGTTTATGCTAAGGAATATTTGTTCATTATTGTTTGGTTGCAAAAAGAAAAACCAAAGCATGTGCCAAATCAAACTGCCACTAAATCAAAAAACTCAACCAAAACTTCCCGATTCGCCAGCTTTTATTTTTATTTTTTTCATTTTGAATATTTATGTTAATTTCGACAAATTCGTCTCGACGTCTTCGCTGCAGGAACATACTTGTTGAAAAGAATGACAATAAGGTGCACTTGAATTACTAGAAAAAAAAAAGTGATATGAGATTTCTCTAATGTTGGAAAATTTGCTCTCAAACATGTAGAAGAGAAGTCGGTGAAAAATGAAAGGGAAAATTTTTATACTTTACGGGATATGTTAAAAATAATAATTGTTCTTAAATGAGAAGCCTAAAGTAAACTAGAAATATCGATGACAACATTGATACCCGAAGAGGATCTACCTCGACAGATTAGTTCAAATTCAATATTGTTTTGGGCGGGAATACCGCTGACTGGTACATTAAAATGCAAATTAAGAAAGGCTTGATAATTATTTCTCGATAACCCTGTACTGATTTTGCCCCAAAACTCTTTGGTTAAAGAACCACAAGTGGTTGCAAGTGGTAAAGAAAAGAATTATTGTAAACAAAGATTTTCATGAATAATGTAAAAAGAACTGCTTAATTGTTATGTAACTGTGCGAGTATTTCTCATGAAGCCCATGTGTCTGATTGTTTATGGATCACGCTATTTAGGTGTCGACGTTTTTGCAAACGAGTGTAGACATTTTAAGCCAGATCATGGGAGAACAAAGTTTCGAAATCAGTATTCGGCTGAAAACGATCCAAAGCGCCAAAATTAGAAGGCAAATTAAATTAGCGGCAATTATCCTTTGATTATGTGTGTTATCGGCTCAAACAAATCAACATAAATACACGTTTTCGTGTTGGCAAGTTCTTGTTAAAAGTTATAGCCATGAATTACGAAACGCTTCACAAAAGCTTCAAGAATCAATAACAATTCGCTCTTTGAGTGGATCATATTGATGCACATGAAACTTTTACCAAAATTTTGCAGGATAACGAAGTGATATTCAATATGTTATTTGCGAATGCTTTCATTACAGATGCAAGCTGCAGTTACAGTGAAGTAAAATCCTTATGCGTAATAAACACTGCTATGACGCGTGCATGGGAAACGCGTGTAGAATGACTGACTGATTGACTAACTGACAGAGTAACTGACTACCTTACAGACTGATTGAATATCTTGCTGGTCAGTTGACTGACAGAAACCATAAATTGACAAATAAGAATCTTCGCAAAAGTCGCCTTATTATGAAATTCTTACTTCATAGGAAACCATGGCCACCGATGGCGTAAATTCAACACATCAATTTGTAAACAACGACAAAATGGTTCTCCCTCCATCGGAGTTTCCAACCCTGAACTCGCGCCGTGACAGCTCTCTAAAGAACCACTGGTACGTCGATATTGTCCAGCGGCTGGAGGACATAAATTGGAGTTATCAGACAATGGAGGTGGAGTATGCTTTTCTGGAGAAGCTCATGGCAGAACAAAAAGAGGATCTGAAAAAAGCACAAAGCTGGAACAATCGTCTCAGAAATCAGCAAAGAGCGAAGATTGTCCACTAATGGCAGATGATCGGTGAACGTTCTAGCAAACTTTTAAGTCAGCTTGTAGTACTTTTTCAAAACATTTTGGTATTATCTGGTGGACAAGACCTTTGCATGGCTTCCGATGTAATCACAAATATGAGCTATAAGCCTTCGTACATCGATCGCCAACGCATCTTCAACGCACTTATGTTGTACTCAACTATACGAATCATCAAACCAATATTTTTCAAAGAGGTTGACAAAAAAACGTGTAGGGAACTCGGCTTTAGAAATGATTTAACTAAATCTAAACACAAAGAGCGGTTGGATCAAGAGTTCGGACAAGATAAAAACTCTCCCTGTTAAAATTTAAACTCACGAGTAAAAGGCTTTTCAGAAGGTGAGATTAATTTAAATTTTCGCCTTTTTTCAAATTTCTGAGGAAAGACCTTTAGTTCCAGCTTTAGATAAGGTTTAGTAGCGACGATACTGTAAAAAATGTAGAAATTTCATTTGAGAAAAAAATTTCTCGGTTCTTCCTTCTTTCCCTCTGTTTTTATCACCTAGGGTAGATCAGTTCTTGGATCAAATATTAAAGATAATAAAATTAAATGTTGGTAAGTACAATTTCAGAAGGGTGAGATGATTAAAGCTTAACCATTGTTTTTTTAATTCCTCCAAGGAAACGATTGATTAATTGATTGATTGATTGATTGATTGATTGATTGATAGGAGGTTTCTCAGGTGCCATCGCATCTCTCATTGGCTGAAGTCGCGTCTGATTTCGGTTTGCGTCCATGTCGCACCATCTGTGTAGTCTTCTGCTTTCTTCGGCCTTCTTTTATTTTCTATTAAACGCTTTTTTATTTAGACTTTTTACTAAATCATGATTTTGCTTTTCGCAAGAATGGTATCATTTGTAAGCAGCTACCCCGAATAAACGCCTGGAGAGAGTTAATGAGCGCCCAGTGCTTCGAATAAGCGGAAACTGAAATGCATCAGGGGAGTATTAAAATTTCTTTAATGGCTCACAAACTATAAATTCACTCCCATATGGTACATCGTCATCTTTTGTTATCATGTATCATTTAGTTGCAAAATAAATTAACTCCTTGCTAAAAGTGGTGAAAGTTTAAGAGGCGCCTAGCCTCGAATAAGGGCAGTAAGCGCCCACATCGGATAAGCGTCCCGGCTCTCAAGGTCCAAAAATTTGATAAGCGCACAGGGCGCTTAAAACAAATAAAATACCGTACTTTTCAATGAAAGTCAGGCGCCACGTTGTTTATTATTCTTTTTAAATGAAAGTTTTTGCTATATGCAAAATCTCGTGAAGAGAAGAGTATTTGCTTTGTGTGAAGGTGAACTTTAGAGGTGGGAAAAGTTGTTAAAGATTTGAAACTTAATTATCACAGAAATGACATCATCCGTCATTTCTGTAAATTCTTCCAAAATTACATTTGGCGGAAGTAATTTCGTAATAAAAAGACTCTTCAAATAAAACGGCCCATGAAGGTGAAAAAATACCACAAACGAGTTGATAAATATTTTATCTAACTTTATTGGGATATTCAGACCGAGGTGTAATTTAGATATGTAATTTTCAGAGCTTTATTCATAACCCTCATGGATTTCGCTCGCCTCACATCTGCAGTTATTAACCACAAACTCATAGTGTGGTCTGCCTGTGATCTCACCGGGAGAGAGAGGTCACACAAAAACTTACATGGGATTGGGCTTGAGATCGATTGTAAACGTTTCCCAGTCGACGGTCACCCAATTGCCCAGAAGAGCTTTGTTTACCCGAAATGCTGCGTAACAGGGCTTCTGCAAACCCGCTGTTGTTTTTTTCCCAATTTCTAAAGCTGTCTTTCGCTTATTCTATGCTTTTAAACTGATAAAGTCAGCCTTATGACACGCGGCTTTCCATCTAGTAGGAGAAGCCCTTTTCGATGGTGTCATTATTTTAGGAAATCTTTAGGAGCAACTGGAGGTTATGCCTCGTCGAAAGTTCGCCCCCAATCTTTGTGCGCAGTAAGGAATCGAGGAAATCGGTTGGTTTGAAGAAAGAACTTTAAACTTTAAAGTGGCCCAAAATATTTCGGAAATATTTTAGGCCACACATCGTTATGTAACAGATGGTTTAATAGTCTCATCAATTTCGCAACCCTAACAGTCATATAACAAAGCAAAACAAAAATATAAAAAAAATTATTCTTTTTAGCAATTAAAATACAAATCTAACAACCCCTACCCACAAAATAGCGAAGCTAATCGAGACGGGAGAGAAACAAATACTAAAGTAAATTCTTCAATGACAAGTTTGGCTGAAATAACGTATTTTATTAATCAAGAAACCGACTAGACGCCAATTGAACGATTACATGTGTTCAATAAAGTGTTTTAACACTTAAAAAGTAAATCCACAGGTTTTATTTTCATTTCCGATGTTAGTGGACTGGTGTGACTTGCGTCAGTGTCAGATAACATACCCCAGTGAATCTTTCGCTCGCCCAAGGTCTCGTTCATGTTCCTTTTTCTCTTTTTACAATGATGAGCACCATTGAGATTTGACGAAACAGCACAGTCAGTATTGTTGATGTACCACCAGCCTCCAAAAATCTTATGGGTACAATGCTTGTAAACTTTGTCCCGTGTACCAAACGGGGAGCCGTTATGATCACTAAGAGAATCTTTGACAGTCGCACATTCTAATAGAAATGATAAAACACCAATAATTATAACAATTATAGTGATAAAGTATAATGATAATTATGATGATGATGATGATAATGATGACAATACTCTTTATTGTAAATTTGACTTACATTGGAAACTCTGATTGGCCGAGAGAATTCAGTCCATATACAAAATCGTGTGAAGTAATAGGATAACCCAATATCTGCAGCATATTTTGCATTTATCAACTCGAGTTCAAAGTTTGCCTGGTTTCCAAGCTCCTTAAGCATATAGCGTTCTCAAACTTTTTCAAACTCAGAGAGAAGTGAAATTCCCTTACGTTTTAAATTTCAGATCAAATTTTTTTTCTCTCCATCTCCCCCTTGGTACTCCATTTTGTGTTCACGCATAGCGCGTGCTTTTCACAAATTAGCCAGTCACATCAAAGAATTCTAACCTTAACTTTGAAACTGACGTGGGTTCTTTTTTCGTACTTTTTTTTTTGTTGTTGTTTTTCGGAATTCAAGTTCAAGCTTAACTTTCTATCACTTAAGTTAGTTACCCCTTTGTTTTGAAATGTAAAACGTTTCATATAGTTTATTCAAGTTAATTGTCGTGGTTAATTTAACAAGCTCAATAAAAAAATTTTTACGGAGTTTGGAGTCCAGCCTCCTTTTCATAAAAGGATTTTTTACACTATCTTGTAGATTTTTATAAAAAATAGCCTGTAATAAAACAATTACTGAACTCTGTTCTCGCATCATATCATGAATTGTCAAACCACGCAGGACTCTGTGAAATCTCCCTCAGCCCTCGGCTTCCATAGATAAGGTTTACCCGGATACAAATTGCAAGTGTGATAGAAATCAGTTCTTAGGAGAAGCACGCACACATTACTGTAAATATTAATTTTTAATACAACCGTCACCTACATTACACATTTGATGCTTTTCTAATCCTCGCCTTCGTGCTGTTCTAGATAATGATTACCGAGAGAAAGTAGATTGACTCACCTGATTTGTTTCCGAGTTTCAGCCGATACTGGTCTTTCTTGTCTCCGACTCCAAACCACAAATATTCAGCGTAGACAGTTTTGCGTTTAGTTACTCCCAGATCTACTCGAAGCCTGTTTTCTGTCTCGTTTTGCGTCAGGCGATGGATCTTCTCTAGTCCGAGCCAAAACTCTCCATTAAGGAAATCACCGAAGCCATTTTTGTAGTCTGCCCAACCCAGGTTAAAATCCATGCAACCATCCAGTCTTCTCTGAAACACTGTCCACCCTCCTCTGTCTGTGGTTTGGTCACAATACACATTGAAGGCACCTTCACCATCAGGGTCGATTGTGTAAACACCGCTGATCGTTTGGCCGCAGTTGTACAGCTCGGCGCAATTCTTATAATAAGCTGTTGAGGTAAAGATGGCTTATGTAGGTTGTTTAAATATTGAATGTTTGTTAAGTAAAAAAAATTCCCATTAAGAGTTCCCAAAAAGAATCCATTATGATGGGCTCCTAGTTCAATTTGAAATTTCAGGCTAAGCCAGTGTCGGAATGAGAGTAACGATTGTGCCGTATCCCGAAATGTCACCTTTTGATAAACTTCCTCTCCCTCCCTTTCACATACTGTACTACTTTCACGCTCTGGTCTCTCTCATTTGAATATGTGATATAATCCAATGGTTCTCACTGTCCAAATTCTGTCAGCTTATCGCAAAAATCGACATTTCTAACGTTTCTCATCTAAATGCCGATTTTGGGTCTTGCGTGTTTCAAATTTGTCTTAAAATCAAGGCATTTTCCGCTTTGAAAAGCCTCATTATGTCCGGAAAATAGCGAGAAAGATCAACGAATAGATAACAAAGTCCACTGAACACGGAACAGTAAAGAAGAAATAAAGTTTGGTTCGCTATCACTAGAGCTTTACGGACATCACAAGTAACGAACTTTGCAGGATTTGGAAGTCCATCTCGATTCCCTAATCTACGATTTTCTTTGCCAAAATGCTGCAACTGAAGAACATCGCCACTCCCAATCCTCCCCTCCCCTCCCCCCCTCAAGACATCGAAGGGCGCTTCAAAATGCCCACGGCTTAGCGTACCAGAATGACTCTAAAGTTCTGCAAAGTATAAAGAACAAACTCACTCCAATGCATTGAAATTACGAAATACGATTTATCTCTTTTCTCTTGCATATGGCAAAGGGGATTTTAACAAGAAATTAAACGAGATTGATATAATACCGAAAATCACGGTTTGTCCGTTTCAAACCAAACTTTTGCAATATAAAATTTGCGACCTTGATTCTCTAGCTTCCTCAAAGAACGCAGCACGCCGCTCCAATGTCGCTTCTGTTTTCCTCAAGCGTTGCCTATACTCACTAGAAATAATCACCAACTTTTGCTGTGAGAATCTTACCTTCTTTCAAGCAGCTACCGGTGCTCTTCTTGCGGTCTACCACAGCGGCACTCGTTGAAGCTAAATTTTGGATCAACGCAAAAACAGTCACAAGCAGTAAATTAGGAGCTAGTCGTAAAGAACTCATTAGGCGATGCACCGGCTCCCTCCGGTTATTAGACGCAGATACAGTTTTGAAGGAAAGTAATACCGAACGCAAGGTCTTAAGGGCTCACGAGGGGGTCACTAGTGCGTTCTATACTGCATATCAGTCGCCTTAAGCTGGTATTTATACCTCCTAGGGAGGTTGATTATCCTTTTTCTGGAATACTAGGGTCATTGCCATGCCTCCCGTAGAAAATAAACTGAATTGATAAACAAATAAACAACTGACATGGTTTCTGCAGTCCCACCTTGCGGGGGAGGCTACGGAAGTCATCATCAGACTCAAGTGGCTCTGATGATGACTTCCGCTCAGGTTGTCGAAACGTCAGTCACCATTACCGACAACAGTCCTTCTCAGGAGATGTAATTTAATTATGCAATTTTCAGGGCTTTATTCATGACCCTCTAGATTTCATGTCAACAATTATTAACCACGAAAATACAGTGTGGTTAGCCTGTGGTAGCTCTAAGAGCAGCGAGGAAAGAGTTTTTAAACAGGGAAAACACTATGAACCTGCTCTTTTTGAGCGGTCCTTCAAACAGTCCTTCTCAGGACTACACTCACCCGGACGATCAAACTACACTATTACAGGTGATTTAGTGTTAAGAACTGAGTTGAAAACGTAAATTAGCCACCGTAAAGAGTTAAAAGGCTGACGTTTCGAGCGTTAGCCCTTCGTGAATCGCTCTGGTGAAGGTTAACTCTTTACGGTGGCTAATTTACATTTTCAATTCAGTTCTTAACACTAAATTACGTCTTTAATTCAGACGATTCTTCCGACAAATTCAGTACTGTTTGATAAAGGATCGTATTCACGAGACTGCAATGAGCCTATCAGAAGGTGAGACATCATATATTTGTATTCATGGCGCGAATATTAGCGTCCTTTTAGCGTCGTTTGCGATTACTCCTGGCTTTACTTTTGGCGTGTGAAGTGATCTGTGGACTCTTTTTCTTTTACAAATGTCAAGAATTTCCGACCACATCAGCGTTAGCGACAGTTATACTGTGCTACTGGACGAGTGTTTGAAAGAAAACCAATCATTAAGAGAGCAAATGAGGCAGCACGATGAAGAAAATGCCTCAAAGTTCGAAGAGCTTTCAAACAAAGTGGACTCTGTGTAAACTTGTCGCCGAGAAAGAGACCAATTACGGACTCGATGATTGTAACGAATAATTTAAGGACTCGAGCATTAATATAAAGCACGGCGATAAGTCGAAGTCCACTCAGTAAATACAGACAATATCAGACACGGGAAATAATATCAGACACGGGAAATAGCAGACAATGAGGAGGTCAGAAAGAGGCCAACAATAACGGACCCTGTTAATTGATTTCCGACACGAAAATTAATTTTTCGATAGGGAAAATACCCTGACTGAACGGTATGTTACGCCATAATCTTACACTTACTTTACGGCATCTTTACAGATTCGTAAATTTATGATTTCATGGTGTGACCACCAGCGCCTTTGTTTGGAGGCTTGGCATATTAACTCCACCCACGCTCCTTTAAATCGTGACGATGGCGGCTTCCTTCCTGACGCCTATTTACACCTGGTCTGGAAAGAGGCAGCTAATTAGTGATCATATAAAAGGACCTCTTAAAGGGCATGTAAACCCAAAAAACGTTCATTTTCTTTTCACATAGATGTCTAGTAAATATATCAAGTACACCAAAGGTACCATTCGTTTATTCTCAAAAGTCCATTTTCACTTTGTAAAAGCTCTTCCAAATTCGAAACATTCGCCATCTTGAATGGCGCCATCTTTCCTGTGACGTCACGGGTGGACCCTTCAAAGTCTCGTTTTATAATCGCGTGAGACACGAAGGAGTCTTTTCTACAGCCGTTGTTTGCTGGTCTCGTCATGATTTTGTTACTTACAGTTTACTTCAATATAATCAATTTTTTCGTAATGGTGAAGCGTTGTGCCGTCCAGTTTTGTACTGATTCAAACAAAACTGGGCATACAATGCAAATATTTCCAAATGACGCAAATTTGAAGCGACAATTTGTGAAATTTGTTCAAGTGAAAATAGCCGATTTCGTCGAGCCGTTCGAACGTTCTGTTGTTTGTAGCAGTCATTTTTCTTCCTGGTGCTGTACCGACGATTCAGGCCTCACCAGAAGCAAATTATTCGGAAGACGAAAAAACAACCCATACAGTCGGCAGACGACGAGGATTCGGAAGTGGCTGACCAAACTGAGAAAGAAGTTGAGCTCTTCAAAAGTTAGAGGTCAACAGAGAAAGTACAAAATCGATTTACATGAGAACGTTTCGTTAATTAAACAACAATAGCTTTATTCGTTCTCTAAAAACATCTTTTTTCTCATCTAATGAAAGATTATGGGGAAGCCAGTTGTTTGGGAGCCAGCGCTGAGCCCGTAAAAGACACTGACATGTCTGAACCTTTGCCTGAATTCGAAACACGTATCAAAGAAAGAGAATTCGTTGATATCAGTGTGTAATAACGTGATCTGGAATTTTGTCGGTTCTATACAAAGAATTCTATACAGGATCCCATAATCAACCCTTATGAAATCCATGCCAGCCCCACTTAGTGCTTCCTTTGAGAAACCCTGCAGAGAAACAGCAGAAGAATTTGTGTCGCGGTTTTCACAGCAGTGAAAATACATTCAAAGGTCAGTAGGACAATATTCATCATTTTGAGTACAACTTAAAAAGATCCTGATTTCAGCTTGCAAAACTATCTTTTCAATATTTCAAATCGAAGCAAACACAAACAGGGTTGGATAATTATGAAGGCCACACAAGGAAATGTACATGATACAACTTGTTTATCGATGGAAATGCTTCTGAGATGAAGGATATTGTTTACCGCACAAGATAGCACAGCGACCCTAAAGTGTTTGCCGAGATATCCCCAACACCAACGAACAAGCTATCTGTAGGCAATTTAGCGAAATTTCCTGCCAGGAAAGAAGCGAAAAACAACCAGCTCTAGTACTGTATTATTAAATCAATGGCAGAAACAACTCAAGTAAATCGATCTCAAAATGTAACAAAACAGATGAAACAGAAAATATTTAGCTCAGTCGTTTCCGGTGTGATTATCTGTGCTTTGCTGCTGCCTGTAAGCGTACTTGGCCGTCTCCAGCACCCAGAAATCGAGGCAAATTGACTGAAAACCTGGATGCTCAGTGATACAACTTATCTGGGTTTCAGGCCATTTTGTTACAATTGCCCGATTTCCGTACAACAAACACTTTCATGAGTTGTCGGCATTGGTTGACAAGTTCCACACTCGCACCTTTGATAATTTTATATAAAACACTCTCAGAAGCTCAAGTTTAAAAAAATTCTGTTGCATTCCTTTAGATTGTACCCTCGCTTTATTGCATTTTCATGTTAAATACAAATAGATCACAAAGTAAATTAAATACCAGCCTGAGTTTCCGAGACGGTCGCATCGCTGTCGACATGTTCTGTACTGTCTTCGTGCGGATCGCTTCGGTGAACCCTACGCGGCTCATATTGTTAAGGACGTGGCCCAGACTCTCCTGAAGATTCTGGATTATCCCCAGCGCTGTCATGTACTAAGCTTAAGGCATTCGAGTCGCTATCTTCTGAAAAAACATCTTCCGAACTACCGCTACTTACACGAACTCCCACACCAGTTCTACTGGGGAATATGTGTTGCGCAATATTTTGGTTCCACCGCTTACGTCACGACTTCTCGCTATTGTTTTTACCGGAAATGGAATTTCAGTTGAAAATGCCGATTTTCTCCTAAAATAAGTCGAATTGGACAAAACTAATTTCAAATTCGTTTTCTACGCCACTTTTTACATAGTATAAGAAAAACATGTATTTTTGGGTTTACATGCCCTTTAATTGTTGCAGTGTTTACACTACCCCTGATGAAGGCACTCGACAGGAGTGTCGAAACGTTGGGTCTATGAATTGTAACTTCTTCGGTTACATTCATTAAATCTGTAAACTGAGTACACTGTAAACTGAGTTCTTATCTTATTTAAATCAAGGCTCCAAATTTTGCTCTTCAAGGAGGTCGAGTCGTTTGAGACCTGTAGGGATCGACATACGTACGCTCTCACAAATGGAAGCCAACTGCGAAAAGAAAGAAAACATTTTGAAAGAGGCCCTTTTAAAACAAAGAATTGACTCACTCACAGAACAATTCACACAATTAATTAGTGATCATATAAAAGGACCTCTTAATTGTTGCAGTGTTTAGACTACCCCTGATGAAGGCACTCGACAGGAGTGTCGAAACGTTGGGTCTATGTATTGTGACTTCTTCGGTTACATTCATTAAATCTGTAAACCAGAGTAGCATTAAACTATGTCTACAAGAACACTTTCTCTGCCTGATTTCTCAAAGGAGCGCAGGGGAACCTTTGCTTGTGATTTTCACCGGAAAAAAGCTCTCTAGAAAAGTTGAAAAGACGTCGATCAGTAATTGGATAAAGAACTCACGCACTTCTCGCAAAGCCGTAAGTTTGTTGTCTGGACTTGTTTTCAATAGAGTGATTAAGCAAGAGGACGAGAAGGTCACTCGACAACAGCGCGTGCAGCAAAAATACCGGCAAGAAACTAGGTCGAGAACGTCGCCCCGTTGTGTCTCAGAAGTGAGTGACTTAGCAGTCGTTTCAACAAGCCGTCAACTTTATACTTGTTGTTCAATATCCTAACCTCGGCTCTTTAAAGATCACCATCACCTTTGAATTTTCGGTTTCATAGACCACCCTAAGGGTAACAAAATTATCTTCTTTGAGAGTTACGCAACAAGCGTAAACAGAGGATAGTTGTAGATGCGACAAGTTGTTAATATGAATCCACATGGGCGATTAAACTTTGAATTTATTCCAGTTAAGTCTCGAGTCTGCTGATTCATCCATCAGATTTTGAATCCTACTTAATAATTTTTTCTATGATTTGTGTCGATGTCATTTCGTTTCGTGCTACTAGATTTCAGCACAACTCGTTTTTCTTCATAATTTTGTAAAGTGTAATTTGGAAATCGTCGTCGTTTTTCCCCTTGTTTACCAATATTCTTCTCAATCATGACAATACATCTTTTTAAGCACCACCTTCATAAAAAAGTGCAAACCCGAGCTATTTTATCAAATATTTTTAGGCAAACCCGAGCTTTTCCCGTTCCGAAGTGGTGATTTCAGAACGGGAAAGCGCGCGGATAGTCTGGACACGACTCTGCTTCTACTTTCGGTGTTAGCGTTGCCGTTCTCCCCAACAAGTTCAGAACGTTATTACGCTGGTTTTCCCGTCGCGATCAAAACGCCTGGGATTTGCGTAAATTTTGCGCTTATAAACGAGGTAATGCTGTTTGGAATAATTTCAGAACTCATTTCTTAACCGAGTCCCTTCCTTTGGTTTATCCGGTGTACCGTATTTACCCGTGTATAATGCGCGCCTGTGTATAATACGCACCCTAATTTTTGACCTTTTTTTCCGAAAAAAAAGATTTCATGACAAATACCAAGAATTAAAACTTTCATTTTTTCACTTAATTAACAAGAGCTGGGAATTCATCAATAATATGTTTACAACAATTTCTAACTAGTTGCTACTACAAATATCGAACGCACCGAGCACCTATTTACAAGCTTTTCTATTCAGTAACAGTCAAACGTTTTATAAATGTTGTAACTTGAAGTCCTTACTAATATACCTAAATACACAACTTGAATTATTATCATAACAGCCGTTCATAAACATTATTTCTACTCACAGTACTGCTGGTAGCTTGAATATAATTACTGCATTGCAATTGCGTGATTTAAGTAAAATGTTCAGTGTCTTTAAACCGACTCACAGTCCGATTCGAATAGGTTTTCGATGACTGAATCCTCAAGTTCATCAGTGATCTCAGTTGAATTGTAAACCAATTCATCTTGTGATCCATTCGAATTGTTTGTGATCCCACACTTCAGAGAGAGGCAGCGATCATTTCTGATGGAATGCCTTCCTACGCTTGTGAAATATACGAACAGATCAGTTCCTCCGAAGCCTTTTTTTGTCGTCCAGTAAGTTCGTGAATTCCATCAGCCATCCACTCCTTTCGGACTCCATCTCTAAATGGTTTGTTCAAAGATACATCGAGCGACTGGAGAAGGGAAGT